TATTCGTACAATATAAATGCAATACAGTGTTGATATTCAGTTTAATCTGAAACAATACAGGACAAATACAGTAAATGATAACAGAAATCACATGGGCATTTCCTTTGAAAAATAAGCAAAAAAAAGACAAAAATAGGAGCTTCAGTCACCCAGTTTATTATGCAACTGGGACCAAACGGCACCATATTTTTATGAATCACACATCTGGTGCACATCCTCACATCTGGTGTGCATGATGGGCCATCACTGATGGCTGTGACTGGACACAAGCACAATAGCCCTGGCTAAAACGGGAACCCTTGTCACGTGGTAAGCGGTCATGTTTCTGCAAAACCCCTGTAGCCTCACAGTTTGGGTAATGAAATGTTCTTTACAGTGACACATTTCTCATCATTGTATCCCTTAAGCTCTGCAACTTGTTTTAGTGTCTTTAAGCACATTGTTTTTTATTTTACAGCCTGCTTTTCAGCATTGCTGCTTTGATTCTCTAACAGCTCATATCTACTTACTTTTAGCAGCAGGCAGCTGCTCTGAACATATACAAATACTCACCAGCACCCCATCTAGGAGCTTGTGATTGGACTATTCCAACACAGTGGTGTGCAATTACTTTTATTACAGTGAGATAAACAGAGATGACAGACCACCTGGCTGTGGCTCAGGTGGTAGAGCGAGTTGTCTGCCAAGTTCGGTGGTTCAATCCCCGGCTCCCCAAGTCTACATTTCAAAGTGCCCCCCCCCCCCCTCTCCCATGTATTCATTGAAATGTGACCGTTTGTGTGAACAGTATGTCTTTTGTCCTGAGCCTGGTTCTGCCAGAGGTTTCTTCCTGTTAAAAGGGAGTTTTTCCTTCCCACTGTTGCCAGGTGAATTCTCATAGGGGTCATCTGATTATTGGGGTATTATTGCAGGGTTTTTACCTTACAATATAAAGCACCTTGAGGTAACTGTTCTTGTAATTTGTAAATATATAAATTAAACTGAATTAGATCAAAGTGCTTAAAAGCACGAAGGTGTGTGATTGGGTGAATGAAGCTTGTAGCAAAAGGTTCAGTTGGGGGTAGAAAAGCACAAGACCATTTACCACAACAACTGTAGACCTTTGCGTTTTCCACTGCCCTCTAGTGACAAAAATATATTTAATAATAAAAGCTGGATTTGCTTCAGTGCCAAATGTTAAAAGAATGTAAGGCTTCTGTGGAATTCAGCAGTCTTACTCCTGAAATCTAGATGCTCACACTGACTAATGTGACAGGGACCAAAAATAAAACACAAAACTCATTGCAACTGATTTTGTCATGTCTTCAAAGCCCTTAGACTCTCACTGACAGACAAGCCTTTTTCTGGCATCCAGATTTATGAGGTTATTGAAATCCTACACAAGATATTAATTAGGGCAATTCATATAGAGCAGATTTCTACTTCAACTGCGAATGAGTCACTCATCCGCCAAGTCAATCCAGCTCCACCACTCTATAAATAATCACCCTCTGGTCTTCGACTGCTTTGCATTTATGTCTGAATAATGCTTTGTTTTAGCTAAATGTGCCAGTTGGGTCTGATTCTGTACTCTCACTCTCCAGCCTGAGGTGTATACAACAGCTCAGACTTTTCGTGTAGTAACATAATGCTGTTTTGTTTTTTACCTTTTTATTAAAAACATTTTTTTAAATAATACATAACCTAACCTGTTTTTTCTCCATTTTTTTTTTAATGCAGTTAGGCTGCATTTAGCAGTATGTTTGCTTTCTGACATCATCAGATAATAACAGATGAATGTCCACAATAACAAGACTAGAATCTGCACAGGGCTCACTGATGGAACTGTGACTGTTAGCATACTCTGCCACTTGGTGGTTAATCTGACAACATGCAGCTTCTGCACGTGGAGGTTAGATTGTTTTTTGTTGCTAATGATGTTCTGTGTTGATGGAAAATCCAAAATGACGTTTAACGTGGTTCTTTTTTACAAATTGCTTTTTGTATAATTTGTATACACACAAAATATATTTAAATTGTAATATTTAGACTCAATCAACTCTTTTTTTTGGTACATCTTGCTAGAACTGGGCTGGATCTGCTTGTACCTATAATTGGCTTAGTTCTTCATAGCACAGATTCAATAAGAGGTTGAAAGTTTTCCTCAGAGATTTTGGTGCATAATAATCATAGCATCACACGTGTGCTATTGCTCACATGTGTGATTCTCACATGTCCTCACGTCCCAAAGGGCTATTTGAGTACATTCAATTCAGTGTTATGTTCAAGAAACCAGTTTAAGATAATCTAAGGTTTGTGACATGATGTCTGCATCCACCCTGCTGAAACATAAATGGATGGCCAGCAACAATACTCAGGTGTGGTACTTAAATGATGCTCAGTTGGTACTAAGAGGCCCAGAGTGCGTCATGAAGATATCCTGCACATCATTACACCACCAGCTGCCTGAATTGTTGATACAAGGCTGGATGAATTGAGTACTTTATGTTGTGTCTGCCAAAATCAAGATTCTTTAGCCCTGGCTGCAATTTAATGTTAATTGAGAGTCCGTACGAATTACTGTCTCAGTTTCTAGATCTTAGCTGACAGGAGTGACAGTGGCCTGGTGTTCTCCACTGTGGCCTATCTTCTTCAAGATTGTAGATGTCGTGGGTTCAGAGATGTTTTGCATATCTTGGTTGTAATGAGGATTTATTTCACTTCTTGTCGGCTGCAAATAAGCCACTCTCTTCTGACCTCAATGGATAATTTCTCTTTTTCAGACCACTCTTAAAGAGATGGCTGGAGTAGATCAGCAGGACTTATGTTCAGGCTGCCATAGATTTTTATTTGAGTGTTAAAAACAGGAAAAACTGCCCACAGCAGCAACGTTCTGTGCTTCTTTTTTTAATCTTTTCTATTATATAATCTATTTTTCAACTTCCTCTTCTTGGTAAATTCTGCTGTCACTTCCTTTGCTGCTCATGTCCACTTTTCAGCTGATCAGCATTCTTTCTGTTGCCTAACATCGTATGCATCTGGCTCGGTTGAAGGCCCGCACACATGGACTGTGAATAGCCAGTCCATGTGTCAAATACATGCAGTGCTGCGAAAAAGTATTTGCCCCCTCGTACCAGGGTGATCAGCCTCTAGCGGGGTCGACTTCCTGTTGCCTCCGGTCCTCTGGGACTCTTTGGCCCTGGGCACTCCCCTCCTTCTCCTGCTGGGATGGGCGTACAGTTGTCTTTGGTACTCTTGGGGGCTGCTGTTGTCCTGGTTCCTGTTTGCATCTCTGTATATATAACGACACACACTCTCTCTCTCTCTGAAGATTTCATAGACCAGGGAATATAGGCCATTAAAATTTCCCAACGCCAGTGTCTGCATGTCACTGTAAAGTTCTTCCTCCCCACTGTTGCCAAGTACTTGCTCTCTCTTATATTGTAGTCTTTAATTGAAGTTCGATTTGAATAAAGAAACCATTTAAATGGTACACTTTATTACGCAATATGTGTTAAACAGATGATAAAGTACCCACTCCACAAATAAGAATTTATTTGTTTTTTTAAAACAGTCCCACAAACATAAATCAGAGACACATTGTAACTATTCTGAGAGTTTTCATTTTGAATTTGAATGCAATTACAGTTGTGACAGACTCAAGCAGATTATTCCAGTGGCACAGGGTTTTTAAATCTTTGAATTTATTCTCAGCTTGTGAAATAAATGATATTTTTATATAGATTTTAGTGAAAAGTCCTTAACTTATATCTTGGTAAAATAGCTTGAAATTAAGATTAGAGCCTCAAATAGCTTAAATGTCCCCAAATGGGATTATTTATTTTGTAGTAGCACAAAACAAACAAATGACCAAGTATTAAACAGAAAGTATGTAAGAGAGAGAGTGAAAAAAAAAACACTTTGGTACGCTGCAGGTAATAAGGGGAACACTGTGTAGGGGTTAAGTCTGCAGTTGTGAACAGTATGACTCTGCTTCCACATTCTCACTTTTTTTTGCTATTAGATTTAATTACTTGGCAGTGCATTAGCTAAAGGAACTACAATGTCACTCAGCAGTACAATTCCATAAGAAACTAGGGAATATACAGTGATGTGAAAAAGTGTTTGCTCCTGTCTGGATTTCTGATTTTTTTTTTTTTTTTTTTTTTGTATGTCTATCACACTTAAATGTTTAAGATCACCAAACAAATGTAAATATTAGACAAAGTAAGATAACACTTCTACATGAAGCTCTTTATTAAGAGGAAAAAATCCAAACCTACATGGCGCTGTGTGAAAAAAGTCTGTATTACAGACTCAATGTTACGAGACGTTTGTTTTCATTTCTTATCAAATTTGATTTGGACTTATGTTATTATCTGTAGGAGCAATATGTTGACTACTACACAGAAGAAGCCCACTGCTATTTGGAACTTTTAGGTAAAACAATAACGTGACACCAACGGTCAAAACGAGCTGGTGAAGGCTACAAGTATGTGTAAAAACTGAGTGGACACAATCCCCTTTTTCATGTAATTGCCTTGCGATTTCTGCTGTGGGGATACCAGCAGTACTGCGAACTGTGAGTAGAAACGCGTCATTTCCACGGCTGAAGTTGTTTAAATCACAAGTAAGTAAAGTACTATTGTTGTTTAGCTACAGAATATATAAATTAACTACAATGACTTTGACACACCTGCAATAAACAAATAACGACAAAGGAAGTGAGCTCAGCGTGAATTTAATGACGCATTAACGTGCTTTTGGTAGAGCAGGATTTTTTGCAACCAAAAGCAGGTGCAAACATTGAAGATTGCACGGTATAACTTTAATAATAACACTGCTAACATTAAACGCATATCCAGCAAGAAAAGCGACTATTCTTACACTAGTTTCGTAACTCGAATGCGTTTGATGCTCAGTTTCTACCAATAAAAAAAAATAGTGCCGCCAGCATACTGAAGCCGTTGAAGGCGGATAATTCACTGAACTGGAAGTGTACGAGGAACGTTGAACGCGACATTATTTCCTGTTCGGAGGATATCTCGTCAGTGGGAGCCAAATACAGTTTAATGTGTTTGATGTTCAGGCATTTGCTTGACGTTCTGTTTGAAACTTGTTTCCTGAGCTATGGTCGCATAGAAAGCCCTCCGGAAATGTTTGGGGAATATTTCGATGCGGCTCGACGACTCGGAAATTCAGCGGGCTCCGCGAGCGAGGTAATGTTAGCAGGCAAAGCTAACGCCAGGTTAGCTAAGTGCTAACTTAGAGTTAGCAAAATAACATACTGCTTTGATTTGTTGGTGTACGCGGATGTTTGCGCTCGCGCTAAACGTAGCTTCGAAGCAAGTCTCGAGGGGAAAAAGACGTCCACCCTGTGTTGACGGTGACGAAACTGGCAAACGTTACCTATCAACAAGTGGTCTTTTATTTTGAACTGTGTGGGTGCTTTGCTGTGAGAGGGGAGAAAACCAGCAACTCGGGTCCTAGCGTTCGCACCACACGAACAACACACCTCATTTGACTGATTTGACCTAGCTGACGTTATCTGCATAGATAACATTTGCAGCTAATGTCAGGAGTTGCATAACGTTCAGTGGTAATCTTCTTCCCTGGCACCAGTTTTGACACTGTCCTATTTTTGCCCTGATATCACCGGTTTAACACGACAGTTTGGGACAGATTGTGTGAGTGTGTGGGTTTGGGTGTCTCCATCCCAGCAGGTTTCGATGAGTCAGGACAGATTTATTATTCCCTGGCCCATAAGAAGCTTATATGCACATATGTTGACAGATACTGACGAGCGCATAAGTCATATTGAACCTGTTACTTGGACAAAAATAACAAGAATCGCAGATGAAAAAGCCAAAGACACACAGCAGCAGCAGCGATCACCTGAGTAATAAGTTGTTGTGCGGAAGAGGAGTGGAGCTGTGAGTTACAGGTACATAAAACCTGCAATAGGAGATGTTATTAAAACTGAAGAGTAAGCATGAGGAAAAAACGAGCTTCTTACAAAATAAGGCAGCCACATCCTTTTCCAAAACTACATCACTTATAGATTACTGAGACTGGGCTCCAAGCATGATCCATTAGACTTTTAAATTAAGCTATGATGCATATATATAACTCATCAGAACACCCCCCACTGGGAGGCAGCACTCCAAAAGATAGACGGGGGTGATGTTGGGTGGCTTTTATTACTATCATTTGATAAATGCGTAAAAAAATCTTTCTCACATACACACATACACACATTCAATTCTATGTACTAATGTCCTAATTAGGTCTGCCACAAACGATTATTTTGATAGTCGACTAGTCACCGATTATTTTTGCGATTAGTCGACTAATCAGATCATGTAAAACGGACAGCTTATTGCACCAGCTTGCGTCTGCTCTTATATAACTATCATTAGCTTACAGCTTGACATGTTTAAGGTATGTGCTAACTAAAAACAAAGACAAGATGATAGTTTATTAAACTTTTGATGAAATTTGCAGATTGTCTCAGTGGAGTTTAATAAACTCAGCTCCTTGCTATCTAAAATATAACAGGACACTGGAGTAAATTCTCGACCATCTCACACTTCTGTTTAATCAGTTCTTTTTGACATTTATTCAGCTGTGTAAAAACTATAACTTTAATCTCAGCCAAACTGATTTTCCGAGGAACAAATAAAATACTGAAAAAAGCCAAACAACAACATTTTTAAGTTATCTAAGTGACTTATATATCATGTTTAACCTGAGTAGCAAAAGACCGCGGGGGGTTTGAAAATTATGTGCTGAGAGTTCGATGTTCTGGCCGCTCTAGTGAGCCTTCAACCCCGGCTCGCTATCGAGCTGGTGGGTAACAGATGTCTCCAAAAACGTCGGAGCACTTTTGCAAATATGTGGTGTCTTGATAAACCAAGCAGATATTTGAAGTTTACACAGCTACATTCTTGCCTGAAAATATGTTAAAAGTTTATTTTGTGACCCAGAAATAGTAATAAGAGTAATATTAAAACTAAGTAGCTGCCGCCATTGTTGGAAATAGGAATTGGCTGGGCCGCACTATGATTCCTGGGATAGGTTGGGCCACGAAGGATACACCCGACCCATCCTTTACATCTGGGGAAATGAAGGACGCATTTTTCGGCCGTGTTTTTGGGAGTCTTCAAATTTGGACAGGCTTCGCTGTGTCGCTGTAATGTAATTGGCCTACAAATGCTACAATACCGGGCACTGCTGCTTCTTCTTCGGGGTTTAACGGCAGCTGGACTCCTTGTACATGCTGTGCTGCCATCTTCTGTTTCAGTCAGTTATTGCACTCTTAAATCCTACTACTTATTCCTGCGTCCTTCGAGATGCAGGAGAAAAGGCTTTAAACGACTCGTCACCTATTAAATTAGCCATCGACGATCTTGAAAGTCGACGTAATCGTGACTAGTCGACTAATTGTGGCAGCCCTAGTCCTAATGAGGGAAAATGGTCAATAGATAAGTTTTTTTTGTTTTAAATTTCTTTTTAAAGAACAGCCCTTCTTCCATTTATATCAGTGTGCATTGATATGTTAGTCAACAAAACACAAACCTTCTAAGCAAAGTATTAAAAATTATTCCTATTCAACAATGATTAAGTCTCTCTAGTGTTTACCACAGAACTTGTGATGGTAGCAGGGTTTTCCCTGGCTCAAAACTGGTCTTTATAGAGTTCGGAAAAAGTGTCAGCTTTGTACCATCAGTGTATCAGCTAAGAAGAAAGTTTACTCACATTTGTAACGTGTGAATCAGAATCCTTTTATTGTCATTGAACATCATATGTTCAACGAAATTGAATAAATAACAATAAAAACAAATAAATAGTGAATAATTTAAAGAACAAACAAACAGATGTACAATGTTTATGCAGACGTGCACTGTTGCGCCAAAGTATTGCGCTTGTCCTGTGTGGTGGTGATGTTTATGTTTATGTGTCAGTGTTTGTGTTGTATGTGTGTTTGAAGTGCTGATGTGTGAGTTGGGGTGGGACGTGATGGCTTGGGGAAAGAAATTGTGCCTGACGGTAAATCCTGGTTTGGATGATATGAATTGAACTGAAATCACAGACCAGCAAAGTCTTTACTGTATGTGAATGGGCAATTTTATCAGATGCCTTCTTATTAAAAAATTGTGACTTAAGCAGTGAAGAAAAGCAAACTGAAAATTTGGCAGGTTTAATCTGTGTTAATGTTTTTCCGGTACAGTCATCTGACAGCAAAAACATGATGTGACCACAGAAAGTAGAAGAGAAGCAGAGAGATGGAACTTTTTTCAGATTATTCCTTCATTGAAAACATGCCTGTTTCCCTGTTGTTTTGGCAGCATTGCTGTTGGAAATAAGTTAAGCACAGGGTTCTCAGTTCCTCACATATATGGACCTATGATGGGGCTTGACTCAAAATGCTGGGAATTCTATGATATACTACCATTAAAGCCAGTAGGAGAGTGTTTGTGGCACAGTATTTGGACAATGAACTGTACAAAAATGGAACCCAGTCAAAACCAAAACATTGCAGCTTAGCTAGTTGATCCAGTGCCTTTTGGAAAATACAGCCAGTATGGATGGAGACAAAGACGTTGTATTTATGTGCTGTTTGTGCATTTGATTCATTGCATTCACAGAGCGCATGCATTGCATTCAGTTGCATTCAGTCTTGAGAAAAGATCAACCTGAAGGTTGATCTTTTCTCAAGACTCAACTCAAGAACTCAAGACAACTGAAAGACGTTGATGACCACCACAATAGCAACTTAACCAACCAGTGCATAGCTAGCTGGTTAGCATTGACTTCATTTTCAAAGAAGAGTGAGTAAATTGTGAAAAGTAAAGCAATTGTGTTCAGTGAATGAAATAATTAAATTAACGCTGGCATACAGTTAGCATAGAGCTGTAGACGGATACCATTAGTACTAGGGCTGGGCGATATGAGGAAAATCTAATCACAACATGTTTTGGCTATATCATGATACGCCGTATACTAATGTTATTTTTAACTACATAGTGCCGTAGAATTCAGGAGACAAAATAAAACAATTGAAATTAAAAAGGTGCTCCTTTGTGCTTATATAAAAATTGTAAAATAAAAAATGTGATGACCTCAAATTACAGATCTAGACAGTGAGCGACTATAAAAACACCTGACCAAGAACAGTCACAAGTATCACAGCTGATTTATTTAACATTTTCTTTGGCGTGTGGGGAGACGTTGACATGCCGAGTTTAAAACAGTCTTCATTTTGCAGTGGATGACTTTTCAGCTGGTGGAATAAATTCGTGGTACTGCTACCTTTTGCAGCAATAGTTTTATGGCATGCTTTGCAAATGACTGCATTTTGTTCGGCATCCTCCGTATGAAATCCAAACGACAGCGAGTATTCCCTCGCATGTCTGAAACTCCCGCAGTCTCCATATTTTTCCCTATCTGGTAGTATATAAGCACGCATGCTCAGCGTATTGTGCTAGGTAGAAAATGTCCTGGTTGGGAGGGGGAATTAATGATGCATTCACAGCATGTGGTAGAAAAAACCCCAAAGCTGATACACTGCAGACAGCTTAATATTTCCAATTTATACGTGATGATTACAATAAAGCCATTTTAACCATTGTACGTGGGAAAACTTGCAAATATGCATGAAGTATATTCAATATATCGCCCACCCATAATTAGTACTACATGATTAATACCAGCTTACTGTTGGAAACCAACAAGCAAAAGCTCCTGTTAGGGTTAGGCGCTTTTGCTTGTTGCTCCACTGCCTTAAAGTTGATGTCATTGTTTTGGAATGAGGAACTGTCGCAGGCATTCCACTGGTGATTAAAATAATTGATAAGGCTGCAGGCATTTAATAATTCTATTTTTCTATTCTATTGGAACCAGTTGTCCATTCCCCTTGCGTGTCACCAGACAATCGCAAATTACTGTTGAACCTAAATTAATACCAGAAAACCAAAATATACTGAGCATGTTACAAGGAAGCTCGTCATTCTATTGCCCCATCTTTGATAAATGCTGTGATTAGCCTGACCCATGCAAGACTGAGATGAAATGTGTGTGGACCATATGTATGTAGTTGCCCCCTGTGGTCCCATTGGATGTCAGTCATTGCTTTGTACTCTTGATTTTGTACACTTTATATATATATATAT